CGGCCAGAACCTTCGCTCCTGCGACAAATACCGCATCTGCGGTTGCTTCTCGCGTCTGCGATCATCGCACCTACGGTCCCCACTCCGCAGGTGTGGAAACAATAGAAGCAACAAAAACTGCAACAACAATTCAAGGCCAAACCTTCTGTCAACCACCCAAATCCATCCCGAGGCCCTCGGGACCTCAACCAAACCTGCAACAAGTTACGTATCACCATTCAAACTTATTCCAACCTTCGAAACACTCCAAACAACATCAAAACATCAAATCACCATTGGATTCAAGCCTAAGGATTCCAAAATTTCCGAATTTCGCAAACGATGTAAAAACCTACCAAACCTCATCCGAATGACCTAAAATTTTGCACAAACGTAACAATTGACACAACGGACATACTCCAATTTCTGAAATTCCAATCCGAACCCGATATCAAGATTTTTCACTGCCGACCGGAGAACGCCAAATTTCCAAACTTTTCACTACCACGGACCTCCAAAATACATTCCGGACACGCTCTTAAGTCCCTAATCACTTAATGAAGCTATCCGAACCATAAAAATCCAATTCCGAGATCATTTACCCACAAGTCAACTTCCTGTTGTCTTTTCCAACCAAATAACCAATTTAAGAGACTAAGTGTCTCATTCCACCCTAAGACCACTCCGAACACAACACCACCAACATGATATGATGATACAACTGAACAACACACAAGGAAGCGAAAATGGGGGAAACGGGGTGGTAACTCATGAAACGACCAGTCGGATTGTTACAACCAGCCTAGAAGCTAATTTCTTGAAAAAACTCAGCATTGATAATGAAAACTCTAACTGCTCTAATCACCCGTTTTTCGTCCCAATTTCCTCAAATGAAAAGATAAGACTTTACAGCTCGTGGCATCAAGCTACTATCATCAAACTCTTAGGAAAAAAGTTTCCTACACAAATCTCAAACTCAAATTAAATACACTATGGCAACTAGATGAAACCCTTCAATTAATTGACTTAAGCTATGAATACTATCTAATCAAATTACAGAACATTTAAAACTTCAATAAAATACTCCAAAATGGACCTTGGTTCTTAAGATCCCAATATCTCACTGTACGTCAATGGGAAACCAAATTCAATCCAGCCCTAGCTCACACGTACTATGCCACTGTGTGGATCCGTCTACAGGAATTACCCACTGAATACTACGATATTCAAATCCTCAAAAAATAGCTGCTTTTATAGGAACACTCATAAAAATCGACACATGCAATATTCATACATCCAGAGGCCGTTATATGCCAGACTTTGTATCTTAGCTCCACTAGGTAAAACCCTCCCATCCGAAATTCTCCTTGGTACACACACTCAACCAATTTACTATGAAGACTCTACTATAATCTGTACCAAATGCGGATGTTTAGGGAATAACCTCCACTATTGTCCAAAATTTTCAACCCCTTCCACTTCGAACCAACCAGAAAAAAACCCACATGCACCCCCTGATAACTAGGGATTCTAGTCTATTTTATGCTCCTTTTTTGCTTATGTTTTGGATTAAAAGTGTATACAAGTAATCCCGAAAGCTAACATGTTGTGCTTGTTTGCAGTGTTTGGTTAAAAAAGAGACACGAAAGTCAAAACCAGCTCAGAAAGGAGTAAAACCTGCACAAGTGCAAAGCTGAGTCAAAAGGAGCGCTACAGCGGAAAACCGGACGCGGTTGCGGAGGACCCACCGCTGAGGCGATCTTGTTTCCGCGCTCAGCGGTGGCAAAGTTCAAAGAGTATGCTTTTTAGGCTTGCAAGTCACCGTTGCCCGCGGTGCCTTTGTGCGGCAGCGGTGTCTCTACCGCGGTAGCGGTCCTTTTATCGCGGTCCGCGGTGGCGAAGATCAGAGAGCTTTAATTATGGGCTTATCAAGTCACCGCTGACCGCGGAAATTACGCACCAGCGGTAGCTTTAGCGCGGCCGCGGTGCATTTACCGCCCTCAGCGGTAGCCAAATTCAGAGAACTAAGCATTGAGCTAAAAGTTGAAGACCGCGGTCCGCGCTTGATTTTGTGCGGCCGCGATAGTCTCGGCGCTGCAACGGTCCATTTTCCGCTGTCAGCGGTACCTCCGTAGGGGCATTTTTGTCTGAAAAATTTTGCTGTGTATAAATACTTCTTTTTCAGATTTTTAGATCATATGTTATTTAGCTGAGCACATGAACCGCCTCTTTTAGCCTTTTTGAGTAATTTTATAGCTTGTTTAGCAATTAATCTTAGATCTTTATCTTGTAATTACTTTTTATGGGTTATTCATCATCTAAATCTTTGATTTCTTCAGTTATTATGAGTAGCTAGACCCATTAGCTAGGGTTGTGGCTCAACTCTAGTGTGGGTATTTAATGGGTCTTCTATTTTAGGGCTTAAATGTTTATGGGTGAATGATATTTGGTCTAATTTGTGCTTTAAATGTTGAATTGGTGGTTGCAAACACTAATTCGTGCCTTTTTGACTTAGGCTCTTCTTGAGAAAGAGAGCCCAAGTTTAGGAAATTCAGGCCAACAAGGAATTGGGGTGCATTCTATCTCATTCAAGAGATTAATAGCCCTGATTAAAGGGTTAAACGTAGAGATAGTAATACCCGACTTGAGCCAACTTTGCTTGCACAATTTGAACACCCAATTGGGCTTGAGAAAGCCAATTAGGGCAAAGTTACTCAAACTACCGAGAGGTATAAAGTGAGTAGTTTCGTGCATTGGCTATATCACAAATCCCAACTATAACAATTTTGCCCTAAGTTTTAGATCCAGTTAGATACTCACCTAGGGGTATGTATCAATTAAGAAAATCCTACAAAAAATATCATACTTAGTCTAATTTCCTGCATAATTAGTATTAAATTGGAATAGTGAACAAACAAAGAATGATTGGAAGTGCAATTAAGAACATCGCACATTGCTAGATTAGATAGGAACCCAATTCCAAACCTTTCTTAGCTCTCCGCGGATTCGATCGCGACTTATCGGGTAAAAGCTACATCGACCGCTCTTGCCACTCTATAGTGGTATAGGTTTGGCTCCGATTACTCCCCCCCCCCCCCCCCCCCCCGCAAGTGAAGATAACCAAGATAGAAAATGGAAAACAGTTAACTATACAAAGAACAAAAAACCTACTAACCCTAAGGACAATCAATTTACCCAAACCACCTTCCATAACCAAAACCACCCTCAGCAACCAAACCTTCCTAACAAAAACCTATGGGCCCACTGGCCCCACACGACCCCACAAAACCAACCAATACCACCACACCACCAAACCAATTTGAATTACCAATTCCTATCCTTAGACCGGACCCACCCCTTACAAAAAATAATACCACAGAAGACAACCCTATACCACCTATAACACAATCAATCAACCCTACCCCTAACAAGTCCAAACCATCATCATCACCCCCCCCCCCCAATTCCCTACGCCCACGCCTACAGTAAACCTAGGAGAAGAAAATCATTTTTTTAGATCACCTGCCTTTCACCCTCTAATCCGTAAAGCAATGTCCAAACACTTACTTCCAAAATATAATACCAACAAAAAACAATATAGGATAGCGAATTATATGGACCCCTACTCGCATGAACACGGCACACAAAAGGCCAAAGAAAACATAAATTCTACTACATCTTTAAAAAAATCCACATCTCCTACTACAACACCTAAAATCCAAATTACTCAAACTATACCTCAATCATCATCTTGTTAGATCTGATTTTAATGATGAAAATAATATATTTATTTTTTGTATAGGAACTCGTGGACATCATTCAAGATTGAAGGACTCAATCAGAAAAGATCATGAAGAGCATACAAGATTGACGGAATCCATCAGAGAGAATTAAGGAAGGCATACAAGATTAAAGGAGTCAATGATGCCGACGGAACCAATCAAGGCTAAACTGAAGGAATCAAATCAATCAAGAGTATTGAAGATCTTGCTAAACTGAAGGAATCAAATCAATCAAAAGTATCGAAGATATTGCTAAACTGAAGGAATCAAATAAATCAAGAGTATCGAAGATCTTGCAAGATAATCAATCAAGGATACCAGATCTGGAAGGATATCCAGCGTTATCAAGTCACGCAAAAGGGAAGTCATTAAAGCCTTTCGTCAAGCCATAGCCGTTGCTGAATAACCTTATTCTTGGAAAGAATCAATCCTTTCCAAGGATCAAATCTCTTGGGTTGGCAAATCTCTCCAGAAATCAAGCCTCTCTCAAAGTATTTAAACTTGTATCTGTACCGTAGCACGATATACTTTGATCGAACCAAATACCCTCTCTTTGTTCTACAAACAAACATTGTAGCTTTACTAGATCTGTTGTGTAACAAGTTAGAGAAGAAAGAGAGAACAACACTGGTGAGGCATTGTATCAAAGAGAAACGAGTGATATAGGAGCTGAGCTATTGGTGTAGATCACACCAATCACTTTGTACTCGAGAAACTCATTTACAGAAAGAGAACTCCCTTGCAACCCAAGGGGGCTGGACTAGGATTCACATTGAATCCGAACCAGTATAGAAAGTCCGGTGTCTTTAATTCCTGTACTTAATTTCTGCATCTTAAATTCGGTCCTTACTACTATTAATTCATTATATCTAGTCGACTCATTAGAAAACTAGTCAACTGGTAGCAATTAATCTTAAGAATTGAATAATTCACCCCCCCTCTTGTACTTTTAATTGGTATTAGAGCAAGGCTCACATTTTGCTTTTGCTTAACAGCTTGTGAGAAAAGATCATGGCAAATCAAGTTATCATAGGGGCACTCATTCAAGAATGAACTTCGCAAGTAAGGCCACCATACTTCAATGGATTTCTCCCACTGAAAAGTGCATATGGAAATATATATACAAAAGCTTATGATGTTAAAGTCTGGAGAGTTATCAAAAATGGAAACTATCCCCTGCATGTTGCTGCTCAACCACTTGCTAATCCCGAAGATATAGATTCATATACAGATGAGCAAATGGCAGTTGTACAAGTCAACAATAATGCGAGAAACTTGCTCTACAATGCCATAAGTGGTGAAGAGTATGAGAAAATCTCCAGTTGTTATACAGCCAAAGAAATGTGGGATAAGCTTAAAGTTACATACGAAGGAACTAGCAAAGTAAAAGAAACACATATCAACATGTTGGTCCATGATTATGAACTCTTTCAGATGAAAGAGAGAGAATCTATTGAAGAGATGTTTGCCCGATTCAGCAAAATCATTAGCGATCTAAAAATATTTGGCAAACCACACTCAAGTGGTGATCAAGTTAGAAATATACTTAGAAGCCTACCCACTACTTGGCAGACCAAAGTAGTCACGCTTGAATCACAGGATCTGAATAAGTTATCATATGATGAACTTCGAGGAGAACTCATAGCCTTTGAGAAAACACATCTAAAGAAAACAAACCAAGAAGAAAAGAAGAAAACTGTTGCATTCAAGGCCATAACGAAATAGCTGAAAAAGATATTGATGATGATCCTGGAGCTCTTCAAGAAGAAATTGCCATGGTGTCAAGAAACATGGATGGTTTAATGAGAAGATTCAGGAATGCTAGGAGAGGAAGGATTCCACCTAGGCGATCCAGGCAATACAACGAACAAGATAAAAATGATGGAAAATGCTATGAGTGTGGAAGATTTGGACATGTTCAAGCTGAGTGCCCAGATCTAAAGAGAAAAGTCTCCAGAGGTTTTAACAAGAATAACTCTTTTGGAAGCTGGAGTGATGAAGAAAGTTCAAAACACGAAGAGATAGCAAATCTTTGCTTCATGACAATACTGGAAAACGACATGAACAAATTTTCAGGATTCTGGACAGATGAAGACACTTTAGACGAAGAATGCAAAGATGATAATGAAAATTGTTTCATGGCGCGAGTTGAAACAAGCGAGGTAAGGTCTTATAACTGTGAAAGATGTAATGAATTACAGGATATTTCTTGATCTTACTTTGAAAGAGTCTCAAAAAATGATGAATGAACTAAAGAGACTCAACAAAGAAGTAAAAGACAGGAAAATCAAACATGAAGTATGTGAAATCGAAAAAGAAGTACTTCAATAAGAGTTTGAGGAATTTCAAATGCAACTCAACGGCATGCGCAAATCCACCAGTCATAGTTCTATCAGCTCTAACCAGGCGACTTACAAGTCAACTGGAGAAGGACTTGCTAGAACAGAGTCCACTAGGACTAACTCTAATTAAAGATCCAAAAATGGATCAGGAGTTACGTGTCACTACTGCAACAAAAGTGGACATAGATATTCCTGTTGTCGATTTCGTAAATGTAATGTTTCAGGATGGATTTGAAACCCAAAAACAATTCTGAACCTAGTAATACTAACCAACCAGGACCCAAGCAAGCTTGGGTACCTAAAAGAAAGTAATCACTATGTTTTGCAGGAGCACCGCAGAAGAAGTTACAAAGGAAAATGATACTTAGATAGTGCGTGTTCTAGCCACATGACAGGTGATAAAAACTTGTTTAAGGAAGTTATAAAAATAGATGGAGGAAGTGTTAAGTTTGGTGATGATTCAAAAGGAAAAATAGTCGCTACCGGAACAGTTCCCTTCAACAACAACTACGATATTACTGAGGCTTATCTCGTTGATTGACTTAACTACAATCTTCTGAGTATAAGTCAACTATGCGATTCAGGGTATGAGGTAGAATTCAAGAAGACAGGCTATGCAATTGAAGATGAGACATGTAAAATAATTTTTCGAGGTAAAAGGTATGGAAATGTTTACATTCTCGATGGTTTTGAAAATATAGATGGTCATATCTGTTTAACATCCATATCTGATGATCCTTGGTTATGGCATAGAAAACTGGGTCATGCTAGCATGCATCTGATAGAAAAACTTTCTAAGCATGAGTTAGTTATTGGTTTACCCAAACTTAATTTCTCTAGAAATCACATATGTGACGCTTGTCAAATTGGTAAACAAAGTAGAAACTCTTTCAAAAACAAGAATTTTGTATCTACCTCAAAACCTTTGCAACTGCTTCAAATGGATCTATTTAGGCCTACTAGAACTGCTAGCATAGGAGGAAAACTATATGCTTTTGTTATTGTTGATGATTACTCACGTTTTACTTGGGTGATTTTGTTATCTCATAAAGATGAAGCATTAAAAATTTTGAGATTTTCTGTAAGAAGGTTGAAAGAGAAAAGGGGTATTTGATTACAACAATCCAAAGTGATCAAGGAGGAGAATTTGAAAGCAGAGCTTTTGAAGATTTTTGTAATTCTCAAGGATATACTCATAATTTCTCTGCACTAAGATCACCCCAACAGAATGGAGTGGTTGAGAGGATGAATAGAACCCTGCAAGATATGGTGAGAACTATGTTACTAGACCATTCACTGCCAAATTATTTCTGAGCAGAAGCAGTAAGTACAACATGCCACGTTCTCAACCGGTGTCTCATAAGGCCTTTTCTGAAGAAAACACCTTATGAACTGTGGAAAGGTAAACGTCCTAATATTGGTTATTTTCATCCCTTTGGAAGTAAGTGTTTCATTCACAATAATGGTAAGGACAATCTTGGAAAATTCGATCCAAGAAGTGATGAAGGTATTTTTCTAGGTTATTCATTAAACAGTAGATCTTCTAGAGTCTATAATAAATCCACCTTGTGTGTGGAAGAATCTGTACATGTTATATTTGATGAAAATAACTCCTCGGCCGAGAAAGGAATTAGTGCAGGTGACAAAGATCAAGCTCAAGAAATTCAGGAGACAAGCAAATCGCAAGAGTCGACTAATGGATCTGATGTTGTGATAGAGTCAACTACTGAAACAAGCAACAATCCATCAGAACCTCCAAAAGAGTCAACTACTCATATAGTTCGTCCAAATGAATGGAGAAGTGAACCTTAATATCCTCAAAAATTCATCATAGGAGATCCAAGTGAAGGAATGAAAACCATGGGAGCTCTCAAGAAGAAAGCAAACATAGCCCTAATCTCTTAGATTGAGAAAAATAAAATAGAGGAATCTCTAAAAGATTCAAGATGGGTACAAGCGATGCAGGAAGAACTAGACCAATTCGAGAAAAATCAAGTATGGAAACAGATATCCAAACCTGAAGGCATTCCTGTAATTGGAACAAAATGGGTCTTCAGAAATAAACTAAATAAGGATGGAAAAGTTGTAAGAAATAAAGCCAGATTAGTTGCTTAAGGTTATTCACAACAAGAAGGATTCGACTATGACGAAACCTTTTCCCCAGTGGGTCGACTGGAATCTATACGAATCCGTCTAACATATGCATCTTTTAAGGGATTCAGGCTATTTCAGATGGATGTTAAAAGTGCCTTTTTAAATGGTTTTATTGAAGAGGAAGTATATGTGAAACAACCTCCTGGCTTTGTAGATTCAAAGTTTCCCTATCACGTGTATAAGCTAACCAAAGCGCTATATGGACTAAAGCAAGCTCCACGAGCATGGTATGAAAGACTCAGCTTATTTCTTATTGATCATGGTTTTACCAGAGGTAAAGTAGTCACTACTCTGTTTATTAAAAGATCATCAGAAGGTAATCTCATTGTTCAAATTTATGTTGATGATATTATATTTGGTAGTGCTAATCCTCTTATGTGCAAGGAATTTTTAAATCTTATGCAAAGTGAGTTTGAAATGAGTATGATGGGAGAACTAATGTTCTCCATTGGACTTCAAATCCAGCAATCTGAAGAAGGAACATTCATATGTCATACCAAATATTCAAAGGAATTGATCCAAAAATTCGGTATGAGCAATGCTAAAGCTATTGGCACACCAATGAGTCCTTCAACAAGCCTTGACAAAGATGAACAGGGAAGTCCTGTTGATAAACCTAGGTATCATGGAATGATTGGCTCACCTCTTTATTTAAGTGCCAGTCGACCGGATATTATATTTAGTGTATGTAAATGTGCCAGGTTTCAGTTAGCTCCTAAGGAATCACATCTGACTGCAGTAAAAAGAATTATTCGATATCTTATTGGAACTATCTCTCATGGTCTATGGTATCCTCGTTCTAACGCGTTTAAATTAGAAGGTTTTTCAGATGCTGATCTTGCAGGTGATAAGGAAGACAGAAAAAGCATAAGTGGAACATGTCAATTACTTGGCAAAGCATTAATATCTTGGAACAGTAAAAAACAAGGATCAGTTGCACTATCCACGACTGAAGCTGAATACATCGCTATTGGACAATGTTGTGCACAATTATTATGGATGTCTCATCAACTTGGTGACTATGAATTATCGTTTATCCCTATACCAATTTTTTGTGATAATTCTAGTGCTATATGTCTGTCTAAAAACCTTGTGCATCATCCTAGGGCAAAGCATATAGACATCAAGCATCATTTTATTAGAGATCATGTTCTTAAGGGAAACATAGAAATATCTTTTATTGAAACCACTGATCAATTATCGGATATTTTTACTAAGCCCTTATTAGAAGAGAGATTTTGCTCTCTAAGAGAATTACTTGGCATTATTTGCATTAGTAATTGATGTTAGGACCTATGTGCTGTTTTTTGAATGCCTAATGTTTTTTTTGTCTTTTCTTAATCATTAATTGCGCCCCCGATTTCCCTCTTTTTCACTCTTTTCACATCAGTTGCAGAGTTCAAAGAAGGAAAGCAAATCATCACGTCTGGTCAGCTGACGCCTTTTCCTTTGTTTGTACTCAACCGTCAGAAACCCTCTTTTTAATGCTGAAACCTCTTGTCAATCCCCATCGTCCCTATCGCCTAGAAACCCTTCTCAGAAACTCTGCCCAAAAACAAACTCTTTAATGGCCAAACACCCCAAAAATTCCTCTGCCTCTACTAGAAAGAGTACTCGCTCCAGAGAAAAACCCCCTTCTCTGCCCCCCAGAACCAGTAGACCTAGGGTCCAACCATTCTGAAGGTTTTGCCTCTTCTCAGGCCGATTTGTCTGATCATTCTCAACCCTTAGGAGAAAAAGCTTTGGGAAAGCGTCCCATGAAAGAACCCCCTATTTCATTCACTCCAAAGAAGCCTAAAATAGATCTTTCCAGTTCTCTAGAATCAGACCTAAATTTTTGGGATTCTCCAAATAGGGATTTCTTCATTGCCCTGAAAGACAAGCCTATTGCTCATGGGAGGGTTGTCGACCTTGATGATATGGAAGCCCTAAATTGTAAGGTAACAGATCTTTTCGTTTATCAAGGGTGGTCAAAGTTCTTTTCTGTTCCTCCGCCTAAAGTCTATGAACCCCTAGTGAGAATGCTCTATGCAAACCTTTGCTCTAGTAAGCCTGATAAATTGGAGTCTTTAGTGTTAGGAAAGCGTATTGTTCTTGATTGTGCCATGCTTGATTCAATATTTCAGTGTAAGTGCTCTGGTTTTCCCATGCTTTTCAAAAATTCATGACCCGATGATTTTGAAATCTCTTTTGATCAAGAAAAAAGGTGTATTGCTGAGTGTCCATCTG